AGAGAGGGATGGGGCAAATACGCTCCTGAAGATTGATTTTGAAAGTGTGAATGTCAGCTCCCAACTTGCTGGCACCATACTTGAATTCTGGACTAGCGAACTCCCCTGTTTAAGGACATCAGAATACTAAACTGGAAAACATTCAGCTCTAAGTGTAAAATCTTCTACGATTTTCTTCAACAGTACATTATCTGATGTGCTACATGGGTCTTTTCATGCATATATCTCTAATATGAAACTTCTTCACACCTCTGTAGAACCTGAAGTACACTATTCAAAAGGTTGAGGACTTCACCTTACCTATAGCTTACACTTCTGATATAAACTATATGGACAGACACAAATGTCTGTGGCTGTAACTACAAGTTTTCATTCAACATGGGCATATTTAGAGTACACTGATTCATACCTCGTAATACAGAACTACAAATTTTATTTTGGCAATTACAGTGGCTTCTGTAAGGACAGGATATAAATTTGGAAAACTATATTTTTATTTCCACAAAAAATTATGTTAGAAAACAGTTTGGACAGAAAACTTCCTATTCTTCTGATCTATCAGAATATTAATTATAAGGTTGCATACAAAAATGCATGTATGATTTTAAAGTTGTATACTAAAATGCATGGTATGTAACCATGGGAAAGGATAGGTAAAATATCCTCAAACAAGGGGAATGTCAGGTAAGACCACTCTTTCATCTGAAGTCTGATAATTGCACGGTTTATAAACAAATATTTTTCCTTAACAGTTATTTTACTATCATCAGCTGCACAAGATCCTCAGATATTGAAAAATCAATTCAGTAATTAATAGTGAAAACAATCTCTTCATTCCAATTTTGTTTACTTCTGTAATTGACAGAAGATCAAACCTACTTTTTGAATAGTGACAAATTAATTGAGTAGAAATAAATTATCTGAATCTTTTTGGATGACTACTTTAGGACGACACAAATCATTACCTAAAAATATCTTTTCCTCTTCTTTGCTTAAAAGTCTCAGTAACTAGCTTGGCTGTAGGTCTCGTTCCACATAAATCCTTTTTTCAGATTAATCTCTTCTACTGCACCTAACAGTGCAGACTCAACCTATAGTCTTAGAACCAATGAGTAAAAGTAGGCACTGAAATTTTTTTGTAGTCAAATTCATTAGTAATACTACTTATTATTATAATACTTCTTACTAAATAAAATCTATGTTCATCTAGTACAACTGAAAGCCATATTTTCAATAACATATGTTACAAAAAGTTTGGATTGAAAGCATCGCCTTGGCAAAATCCATGGACAGAATTCAACATTTAAGGAGATTATAGTATTTGATCTCTTTGAATGGCACTGCTAATTATCTTCAAGCTTTGCACAGGCTCCACGGTTTACTGCTTTTAGTAGAAATCTATTCCTGATGCAAACCTTCCTCAAAATACAATGATGCCAAAGCAGAGTTTCTGAGTAAAGGCTTGTTGGCATCTTAAGTAAGAAGAGGTTTCCATTTTTCCATAATGTAGCAAAATGTAGTTTATCATCCTGTTCCTCTATCCACAATTTTTTATGAAGAATCCCCAACTGACCTTCAAATATAAAACATCTTGATTGTTTTGAAGTAAAGACAGTGAAATGAAGCAACAGTGTAAACTGTATTCTCTCATGTCCCTCACCTACTTACCTCTTCGCATATTATATATTCTCAGTATTTCCTGTAAACTTTATGTGCAGATGAAGGTTGTCTAAAGAAACAACATATGAGTCTTTTGTCAGCCTGTCTTACACTTATTTCTTTGAGGATCAAATCCTGAAAAATATCAGTCTTCAAGGAGATGAGTAAAATATAATAATTTTCCTCTAATGAAAACATGAATGACACTAATGCTAATTTTAAATTTCTTTACTACGTTTTTAGTGTCTTTTAGTTTAATTATACAGAATTTAACAAGATATATATAATCATAGATGACTAAAATATGTAATGCATTTGCCTGAAAGAAATGTATACCACTCATTTGACAGAAAGATTAACTATAGATGTTTGAAATGAATAGCCATTATGCTATTCTTTTAGTATGCTCCTTTTACTACATACTATGTGCACCACTTAGGAGAATTTAAGTTGTATTGTTTCTTTCATTAAAGGGAAGCTGCCACTAAAACTTTTTTAGAATACTTGCCTTTTTTGTTTTGTTTTGTTCCATAATTAACCTTTGTACATGCTATTCACACAAGAGTACCAATTCACTGTGATCACCTCCAAGCAAAGTTCGAGTGGGGGCTAACGATGTCTTAAACTTTTATGGAGGTGAAATATGGCAGAGTTAGTGGCTGTGATCTTGTGACACAATCAGATTGAAATGAACTTAACCAAAATGCCCTCAGAGACTTAGCTTCAACAACATCACATGCCGCTGTGAAACAAAGGACAACCTAAGGTCACTTATTTTTACCTGGGTGATTTGGAAAAATGTCATGTTACATATGTTGCTAGGATATGGGATATCTTTGCTTTTAAAATGTTTGCTTTGACATTTCAATTTCGTATTAGAAATGTGGCTCTCTGTTTTGAAAGAAAAATATAATCGAAACAAAACCACAAAACAGTAAGATCTTGGTAGCACTCCAATGGGCCTAGCAGTTTGAAGTGTTCTAAATTCTGGATGAGCAACTAGAGATGAGCTATAATAAAACAGCTTTCATGGACTATTTATCTTTATAATGATGGATTTTTGTGAGCGAAGTAGTCGGCTGCGTTAAGATAGTATTTTACACCTAAAGACGAAAAACTGATTAAGAAAAAAAAAAAAAGGTCAATCTACTAAGACAGAACTCCTACTAAATCTTACCGAGATCCCTGTAGGGGTACAACAAACTCTCCAAATAGAGCACAATGCAATACTGTGACTGTCAATGACTTTTAAATCACAACCACAGGAGAGGTATGACTATGATCTTTTACAGAAGATACAGATCTGGGGAGATAAGCACTGCTTTTGGATTTCCAACATAGATCATATCTGGCCTGGCTTTTCAGAATAGCCAAGTACCCACACATCCAACTTCATCAGCTCACATACTGCTGCAGACACACTACACATTAGAAAGCGGGAGGGTTTTCTGACAAACTTAAAATTCTTTGTCAGTTTTGAAAATTCGGTCTACCAATCTCACCTAATAATCCAGTGATAGATTTAGGAGCAGAGTCAAAATTTCATGACATTAATTTCCATGTATTAAGTGATATTAAGATGATCATTAGAGAAGCGGGAGCCAGTTAACAGGACTGCAGTCTATATTTAGACATTGATTCTTCCATTTCATCAGAGAATATATTAAATGTCACATTCTGTTGCACAGCCAATTAGAGAGGTAAGCACAACAAAAAAGAGTTTTCCTGCTGGTTTTGTTACCAGCACAGTGTGGTATCAAAAAAAGAGACAGGGCTACCCAGCCAGGAATAGAAGAGAGAGGAAGACTGCAATAGTGCTGGCTTAACCAGCTAAAATATTTCAGCCTTGAGTTAAGATTAGATGCAGATATACACCAAGTCATTTTAAAATATGTATAACATTAATTGAAATTCTCAAGAGTTAATAATTTGATCTCACATTTAAGTAAAAGAGATCTGTAGAAGGAAGCAAACTATGGATTTTGCCTGCCAGAATAATATGCAAAAATGAGGCATAAGTAAGAAAATCATATAATCCTGAACCAAGTATTTGACAACATAAAATTTTAAAACAAAACAATTCTGAAAAAGATTAAGAGATAATGTACAAACAATTCTTCTTTGGCCCTCAACCTTTTCAAATGACATAACAGATATTTTAATCTAGTGTCCTGTGTAGGTGATACTGTAACTATCACTTATTAAAATATATCCATGCCATTTTAAAGATATTTTAATTACTAAAACACTATATAACTCTACACGGTAAATATTGTGATCATTAATCAAGATGAAACAAATATTTTACTAATCTAGAAGGTAAAGTAAACCAAAAGTCTCAAAAAATAGGAAGTTTAAACCACTGGAAAAAAAAGGGAAATATAAGAAAACAAGCAGAATGAATGCTATGAGACATCTGCATATTTTAATATACATGTTCTTATAAAACTGCTTACTACAGATACTAGGCAAAATGTGTCCATTGTTTCTCCCTCTCTTTCTACTTTAAGCAAAGAGAAAGAATGTCAATATCTTCCTTACAATAAATCAGATTTTTTATGAGGAGGAAGAGGAGGAAGCAGAAGAGAATCTTATAATAGAGAGTCCTAAACTCAGTTTAGAACTGAACTGAATGGAAATTCAACACTGAAAAGTTTTGCACAGGCAAGCCAAATCTTTTGTATTGAGCAACGTTAAATCTAGAAGGCAGGTAATTACTTTCAGGCTGTATAATACCAAATTATTTTTATTGCTACTGAGTAGCTAAAGTTAAAGGTTAGCCTTTTTTTTTTCCTTGCACATATATTTCCCTATTTTTCTGTGTTTTCAAAGATAAGTAACACTGACGCAGTTTTGCTGACAAAACACTTGCATTAATGAGCTGTTCTTTTCTTTAAGACAACTGAGGAGCTTTTCATAACCCAACAGCAGCAGGATGTAAACCTCTGAGAAAGTTATTACAGAAGCAACGTAAGAAAAGGTATGAAACAGGGTATCTTCCCTCCTGGCAACCTGGAGCTTACTATGCAATTCGTTCTTTCTCATGAGGTTTATATTTCAACCATTGGCTTGCATACTCTTACAACACAATCAGCACAAGCAATAGAAAGATAAAGAGATCTCTGCCTTCAATAGCAGAGAAATTATTAAATACTCCTTTTTTTTTTCTCAATCAATTATCTTAATATTTAATCCAGTAATTGTGTTTATGGGATAAAGTAGCTTAAGTAACAACTACAGGTATTGCAGCCTATCATCTCTCCTGTGTTCCTTGTTGAAATGATTTAATACAGAATAAAGATCATGAGGCTTTCAACTTGAAAAATCAGTGTTTCTCATACCTTTTGTTTGATGATCATGTCGTTGATATCATCAAGATCACCTACTATCACTCTCTGAGATTTTATCTCTCGATCCAGTCGAGAAAGCCAGTCAGTGAGTTCTGCCCATGCCTTATTGAAGTCAGCCAAGGCTGGAACCTCCAAAAGCACAGAAGATGGCATTTCTGGTTTGAAGGTGGTGGTTTCCTTGGTTACCCTGGCTTGTGTATCCACAGCAACAGTTTCACCAGAAGTTACTGAAAGAAAAAAAATGCTAAAATTACTGAATAAATGAACTATGATAAATGTTTATTTCAGTAACAGAATTTATGCAGTAGAAAGGGTAAAACAGAAATAAGCTTGTTTCCTGATGTTACGTCTACTGGAAATATGAAAATTAAATCTAAAAGAATATATTAATTCATTTTTCCACAGTATTTCTATTAGAGTATATGCTTAACATTCAGCATTCTCAGCATATTCAAATTTCATCCTTAAAAGACCAGTGGGACCTTTTAACACTAGCAAAGATCTCAGTGTAATAAGAACTCCTCAGTCAAGGTCACTGAAGTATTGCTACACATGAGTCATCTTCCAAAATCTAGTAGCGTGGTCAGATCTGTCAAGGCTAGAGACAGATAGAAAAAAAGTTGGTTGCAATATCCAATGTATCACAGCATGACTGTGTATCAAGAAACATATTTATTCCATGATCTCCAGTCATTCTGTAGCTGTGAATTTGTCCCACCAACAACCTTCCCACTTACTGTTACCATCATCAGGTATTTCCAATAGGCTCTGTGACCAATATGGGAGCTTACACAACAAGAAATTTAGCCTTGGCTGATTCTTGATTTTTCCTCCTCATAACTTGAAAATATTATGTGCTACTATTTGGATAGTTGTGGATTTTTTCCCTTCTGTTTGGGGAAAATGGACACATCTCCTTTGTGTCCTTTCTTGCTCTATTAGCTGGGTTTTAAATAATCTGTTCATTATTCATTGCTTGGATTGGGGAAGTACCCAACACTGAAGCACAGTATCTTTCTCTGCAGTCAGAAATGATGAGAGGTGCCACAGATAACTACCATTGGACAGAAAGTCATGTAACATGAAATTATTCAGAATTTCAAGACTGATTTTTGCTTCTCGATTTTTGTTATTTACAAATAGATGGCTATAAACTGTTGGGCTATTTTTGCCCTCCAGTTAATTATGCAAAAGCAATTCACTATGCACAATCTTATGGCAGATGAGGCTACACTGAATTGTATTTGGTTAATTTTTTCTCATTTTTTAAAAAGTCCAGCCAAACAAGAAAAACACTAAAATAAGGAAAACACAAGAACACATGGTGTTGCTTCATTGAGGTACCAAACCATTAGAAAAGAGAGGAGTCTAAATACCTACCCTTTAGAGTAGCTACAGAATCTCTGTCTCAATCCACTGCCTAAAAAATACAATAGCTAAAGGAGGAAAGCTGAAATAAAGCTATGTGGAGTGTGCCCTACATTTTCTAACATTGAAATGCAAAATATGGCTATCGAAAACCAAATATACATTCCTAAAGGACCAAGATGTTTGTTTGCATTTTTCCGAATCTCCTTACACAGTAGAGAAAACCTGTTTCCTGCACTCTTCCTGTGAGGTAGCTTGTCTTTAACAGAAAAAAAAGCCCAAACTGTGTCACCCTATGCACAGTTAGGTGTGGGTTTTTTTTTTTTTTTTTTTTTTGCTTTCTAGTACTTCTGAGAGTCTGATGGTTTTCCCCATTGGCATTCATGCCATTTCAGCAAAGTCTGAAGTCTGAAAACTCAAGTAGCAGGTGAGGGTTCAACAGTTTGGCCATAAAACCACTTGAAACATTAAAACAATCAGTAACATTAGCTGATCTTGCCAAGGAATTTAGCAGCTATTTTTCACTAATGAGAAAGGTTTTGAGTTACTTCACTGGGGAATCACTGACCCTCTTCAGCACTGCAGAAAGAGAAAAAGCTGTGCACAAGCATCTAAATGACTGTCACTGTAAAAGCACCATAAGATGCTGTCAGCATTAAAAATACTGTGTGGTTACAGACAATTTACCAAATCAACTAACATATACATTTTTTATCTAGCCTGAATATACGGCAATATTATGATACCAAAAGTGACTCCTGCAAATGATTATTTTTAGTGATATACACTGCAATTAAATACATTTATCCACCTATCCATATCATTATTGCATTTCTGAAGTGCAATCCTTGTACTTTTCCTTTCTGTACTTTAAAATCACATACCTGTGGATAACTACGAAGTAAATTAATTATTGTAAAAGGCTGTTCTAACACAGCAAGTTTTTAATTAAAATCATACAAACAGATAAGAAAATGGACATATCTTTTTCTGACATGGAGAGGTTTGTAAGGGTTTTTTGGTAGCATCACACTGTTTGCTATACCAGAGTATCTTGTACAGTTCAAGACTAGCAGTTTTTAATATCAAAAGTAAAACAGATAGCCCTAAAGGATCTCTTTCCTTCACACTTTTATTTCCTTTTTTAAATTGTTACACACAGATGTGAATAATTATTAATAATAAAAATAATAATCATCATCTTTACTTGTCAGGTTTTGTTTCATCTCTGTTGAAATTACTCCAGATATTTTCTGCCCTATTCTATTTCTTTTTATCTAAATTATGCAAATGAAGCAGAGATTAGCTCTACTCAGTACTGGTGCGGCCACATCTGGAGTACCATGTCCAGTGCTGGGCTCCCCAGTACAAGACAGCGGTAGAGCTACTGGAGAGAGGCCAGTGAAGGGCCACAACAATGATTAAGGGACTGAAGCATCTCTCATATGAGGAAAGCCTAAGAGAGCAGGGACTGTTTAGCTTAGAAAAGAGAAGACTCGGGGGGAATCTCATTAACATGTAGAAATATCTGAAGGGAGGGTGCAAAGACGACGGAGCCAGGCTCTTTCCAGTGGTGCCCTGTGACAAGACAAGAGGCAATGGGTACAAACTGAAACACAGGACGTTCCCTCCGATTATCAGGAAACACTTTTTGACTGTGAGGGTGACTGAGCCCTGCAACAGGTTGCCTAGAGAGGCTGTGGAGGCTCCATCCTTGGAGATACTCAAAAGCCACCTGGACACGATGCTGGGCAGCCTCCTCTAGGTCACCCTGTCTCAGCAGAGGGGTTGGCCCAGATGACCTCCAGAGGTCCCTTCCAAGCTCAACCACTATGTGATGCTGTGATTAAGTCAGTCCCACAAAATGACTCCTGATGTAGCAGGGTTATTAACTGTATTTTTTAGTTTTTATATGCCACTTTGCCTATAGCTGTTAGCCCAAGATAACAGGGAAGACATTCAGTGATCAGAAGGCAATGTACTGAACCTATCATTCATTAATGGACACAATTGCCTGAGTTTATGGCTTTTAGCAGAAGAATCAGCTCATTACCTAAAGCAACAAGTTTCAACTCATGGTTCAGATTCTGAATCTTTGGATTCATGCCCCCTCCATGCAGCCCTCACTCCTTGTTTTGGAGGAGATGGGAAACAGCTGTTTAAATAGTGAATGGTGCTTAGCACCCCAAAGTTTCCTCCTGTGCTGGCTAGAGAGCAGCACAACACTATTAGACACTGTGCTTTCACACTTTGGCATTAGCAGCCATCATCTCTCCCATCCCTCTCCTCAAAGTAGCAAGATACCATAGCTTTCCTTTGGCGGTCAGCAGATGAAGGAGTGAGTTTGACAACTACTGCTGCAGGGGAGGAGAAAAGGGAAGGAAAGGTCAACTTCTTCCACAGAGTAGCAGATCATGAATAGCTCCAAAAAAATGGATAGGGCCCACACAGTTGTCAACTTTGAGCCATCAAACAAAGGCAACATTTAAAACAAAGCCACATCAAGCAGGAATAGCGAGGAAGGAGGGAACACTGTATTAAGATCTGCAAGGCAATGAGAAAGGAAACTACATAATGTTCTCTTAAGACAAAAGGAACTTACAATAGTTACTTTTCATATATGTACAAATGAACTATTTTGTTTGTAGATTCACTTGCTATTTTATTCACTTGCTAATGAACACTGAAGCTAGAAAAGAATGTCAACATTAAAAAAGAAAGTGTTGTTAGTAGTTACTTAGTTTAACTGAGTTGGCACTTAGAGCTTACAAACTTCAGTAGTCTGAAATAACTCCCAGAAAATCACTGAGAAAACAAAATATTAATCATCACTTTCTCTGTCTTCATTTCTCTGTCCAGAAAGTAAAGTGAATTCAAAAAGGGTCACAGAATAATCATTAATAGCCTCAGAATTATACAGAGTGGTTTTCTGTCAATATAGTAATTGCAGTTTAATAGGAATGCCTTAGTTGTACTCTTTTAATATTTACAATCGGAAGGCTATTGTATTTTTTTT